GTATGAAAAGTAGTATGACCATACTTTTTTTAATTTCAATTTTGTGAGCAACAATATAAAATGAAACCATATGGTGATAATCACGGAATTCCAGTGATAAATTTATTATGTGTCACCAAGAAAGTTAATTTTTTCTGTGTATTTGTTTCAGTTGTTTATGAACATAGATCAAGACTTGAAAAGTCATTACAAAAAGAAAAAAATGAACACAAAAAATCAAAAGAAGGTAAGTCCAAATTTATATTTCTAATTTTCTTTTGCTGGAATTAATTTTACAAAAAAAAAGTATTTCTTTTGCCATTGCCTCAAACAAAAATCAGTTAATTTGTAAAATAATTACAATATTTGAGCTGGAGTAATATTTCACATATCGATGCTTTTTAGATCGTAAATGCAAATGGCGACGTTTTGAAATGACAATGTACTCAATTCTGTGCTAAAAAAATCATTTATATACAGACATTGAAGCATTGTTATATACTTTTGCATAGAATAAAGTCATTAGTTGTTGTATAGTTGACTTGAACTGTTATGAACCCACCAAGAATCAGAAATATCACAGATTTTTCGATTGACTACGTTAACATGAACAACGCCATTTTGACAAGATTTGTTTAGCGATGTCAGCATGTTGGCACGCAAAGTTTTTTCCCTATTAATTTTTGCATTGCAGGAACTGGATGTTTATGAGTTGGTAGGCTGGTTGTGATGCGTATCAGGGTTCAAAAAACCCAAATTTCATAGTGATAATTTTGTTTACATGTTTGTTTACATTGTGGTTGTCTGAATTTGAAGTCAAAGTCATACAATGAGGTATCGCTTTGCATGACGGTAAATTTTCCGATTTTATTGAATATTTTGACTGTATTGTAAACTGTCTGACTTCCTGACTCCCTCGGCCCGAGTGTGAACGGTTTGTTTACCCGCACACGATTTGAAACAAAAGAATGCTAGTCGTTTCCAGACCGGGGATAGAGGGACTGTGCCTCGTACTATAATTTTGAAGGTCACAACATTGCGGTACTAAGTTGAATTCTCTATATTAAGTAAATACTGTTTAAAAATGTTTCCAATTGGTAGTTTGGGCAAGGTGGGTGGTGGTGCTGCAACCACATCAAATCATTAACGTCCTGATTAATTTTATGATACGTCATGTACCCCTTCTGGAAACAATGCGACATCCTGTTTGGATTATTTTGTCTGCTATATATTAGGACACAATTTTATTTTATACAAGTGTTACCTGGCACATGTGTAGCCATCTGCTCAATGTGCTATTTTGTGATATAACTTTTGAAACAATTTTCTTAATTTTTGGGTTACAGTATAAAATCACGTAAAACACAAGACCATTGATTCGTCAATCACATCACAGAATCTGTATCATAATAACAATAGTTGACACTGGAGGGCGCCATTACCAATTTGTGATATTCTAAAGTTCTATTCATAATGTACACGCTGCACTTTGAGGAAATGAAGAGTTCATTGTGGGAGTCTGTTCATCTATCTTCCATGCACATTCTAATAATTTTCTCTTATTCTTTTAGATTTACAAACCAGTTTTGCAAAAGAGAAGGTAAATAAATGCATATTGTGTGAGGTACAATGTATATCAGGAGTATTTACTGTAAACCAAGAAAATCTTGAATTTCTTTTTTTGGTGACCTGGTTTACAGAATTTTTGTGATTATTATTTACTATTTAAAGCTGTTCTTTACTCTGTGGTTTGTAGACTTGTGTTTTTGTTTGATCGTATATGTTCCCATGCTAATGTACTGAAGTCTCAGAGAGAGTCAATCAATGACATAGAATTCTGTGCCAACTAAGTACTTGCATAGCGGTTCACCTGGCCATTCTTGAATCCATTACTCATGAAGGTTTTCTTCAATCATTGGTCAATTTTACTTATCCATCCTTTAAAACATTGTGATTGGTCAATTTACTTATCCATCCTTTAAAACATTGTGATTGGTCAATTTACTTATCCATCCTTTAAAACATTGTGATTGGTCAATTTACTTATCCATCCTTTAAAACATTGTGATTGGACAATTTACTTATCCATCCTTTAAAACATTGTGATTGGACAATTTACTTATCCATCCTTTAAAACATTGTGATTGGTCAATTTACTTATCCATCCTTTAAAACATTGTGATTGGTCAAATTTTTTCAACTTTAATTTTAAATTTGTAACATTCATAAACATTTTATATAAAAATATTTCTGCATCCATGAAACTCACTACTGTTATGGCATAAGTAAATCTAATCTATATTTTGTTGTTTTCATAGCAAGAATCATAAAATAGGTTTAATTCACTAAATATTTCTGCATCCATGAAACTCACTACTGTTATGGCATAAGTAAATCTAATCTATATTTTTTTGTTTTCATAGCAAGAATCACAAAATAGGTTTAATTCACTAAATACACAGCATAAAATGCTTAAGGTAAGTGTAACATCCAAACTTTAAAAATATCAATGTTTAGAAAAAGCTGTTTACTATTATTATCAGTGGTATTTCTAGAAAAAAACTGCAAGAGGGAGCACTTCAGTGGCGCCACTAAGTGGGGGATATAGGGAGATAGGGTTCTTCCTACCAGGGTGTGGAGATTTTGATAATTCTAAGTTAAAATGGAGCATTCTATGGCTTCCTTGGGGCCAAAATTACTATCAGTCAGGTCACAGTTGAAAACAGTGGCCACATGTGATCCCTGGTCAATCAGAATTTTATGGTTGCCAGAGTATCTGCTTCCCAGGGTAAGGGGGCGCTGCACCCTTGTTTCCTGCACCCTGATTAGGCCAGGAAAACAAAATTCTCTGTTTCTCGTTTCATGGAAATTTTAAAATGGGGATTTTTTTTTTTTGAATACTGAGCTAAATTGGGGCAAATTTGAAACATGTGTGAGTACAAGCGCATTTTGGAATGCTTTAGAAGGAAGATACAAGAAAAAATTGGTGACAAATGCAGATCTTTCATCTTTCAGGAAAAGTGTTTTTGTTAGATCACTGAAAAATGTTATTCCTGTTTGTATCTGTTACCTAGAGTGAACACGAGGATGTACAAAATGAACTATCGGCATGGCAACATAAACATGCAAAGCTAGATGAAGATTTCAAACAGCTGCAGTCAGATAGAGAATTAGAATTTAAACAACTTAAAGAAGATAAAGTACAGTACATGTCCAATTTACAAGGTAAGAAACTTTTATAACTTTATATTACTCTTAAATGTTTTGTTTTGCTGAGACGTGGTTGATAGATATAAATACAGAAGATTGACATTGACCTCTATGATGCATTCTAACTATGCTTCAACAAATAAATAGTGGCTGTTCAAGTCACTCAAATGATAACAATTATTTGCAGAGCCGGTATAACATGTGTTTGTTGGGTGACAACCTTCCCCATTTCAGTGTTCCAGTGTTCAAATTTTCCCAAGCGGTTATTCATGCACAGAACTTTTGTTGAATTAAATCTTCATCACTCATTATCATAGGTGGCTATCAGAGTTGAATACTTGTATTGCAATTATCCCGTATTTGCTCAATTAGTAATGTATCACTTACGTAAATTACAGCGGTGTTTTCCATGATCAAAATGTTGATGTTAATGATTCAATAGCCATGTAAAATAAATGCAATTGTTTGTATGCTCTCCTATTGGAGATGTGCTTCTAATAGAACAAATACAGTAACTGTTTGATGCATATTATTTCTGACAGCACAAATAGACTCTTTACAAGATGAAGCCTCCAGACTTCGAGCCATACACACAGGTCTGACAGATCAGCTTAGAGAATCACAGGTAGGGTAGGGTAGAGCAGAAAGAGCAGAAAGCATGTGTTTATAAATGCAGTATGAAACTATGTTGGGTTGAATCATTATACACAAGGTAGAATTTGAAAAAAGAAACTAGCTGCTCTCTGATTGGTCTGATTGTTGGGTAGCCAATCAGGTCTAACTATGTTGCATCACACACAATAATTAGTTTGGGTAAGATGTCATATGAATAGAAGATACAACTGAACACAGTATAGTCAATGGTGTAGGTGATTGCATCCTAAGTTATAGTAGTCTTTTAGACACGAATGGCTGGCAAGATATTATTCAGAGAGAGACAACCACAAAAATCGTTTTTGTTCCTCAGTGCTCCATTTCTCCATTCAACGCTTCTATTGTTTACTTGACGAATGTAACCATGGTGATTAGAACAGTAGAATGTAGTAGAATGGAACTCATGTGACTCGCTCGCAATGAGATCTTGGCGGCCATTTTGGACTAATATCTGTTAAAGGAACATTTTATGAAATTAATGAATACAGCTAGCACTGATTAAAATGAAGGCATATGTGCATTGTGGTACTCTCAAGGTGCACTGTGGAACTCTCAAGGTGCACTGTGGAACTCTCAAGGTGCACTGTGGAACTCTCAAGGTGCACTGTGGTACTCAAGGTGCACTGTGGAACTCCCACAGTTCACTGTGGTACTCTCACAGTTCGCCGTGGTACTTTCAAGGTGCACTGTTGTACTCCCACGGTGCATTGTGGTACTCTCACAATTCACTGTGATAGTCCATGGTGAAACTTTCACATGCAAACAATAGCCGGATTGGCTCACTCAATTCTCAAAACACAGAAGAGAGAATAAAACCATTTATCTTTCACAGAAAGAAGTTTGTAACACAATGAGTGAGGTGTATCATGGGAGTTTCACCAATGCGTCGTTGGATGTCTTTATTTATAAAATTACAAATAATGTTTTCAAACATTTCTAGCATGCAAACAACTTGTATAGTTACATGAGAACTAACATCATTCCCAGCATTGACCACATCTTTAAATTTCTATACAACATAATACAATGTTTCCTCTGAGATGCACATGTTTGCTGTCATTGTAATCTCCAACAAAGAAACCTATGTAGACAAAAATGTCTTGGAAGCATTTCTGCCAGACAGGAAAGCATGTTTTCTAATAAAGCAATTACGATATACCTTAAACCTGTGCTTGCTTAACAGTTGCTATGGAGACAAAATACACAGCAATACAAACGTTATTGTGAAAAGTATAACTTTTGCTTAAACATTTTTGTATGTATATCAACCTGCATGCATTTCTGGACTACTGCATGATGGGTTATCTATTTTGATGTTTGTTTTCTCTTTATTTTCTGCATTTCATCTTAGTGTTGTGCATTTTTATTAGCATGCTTTCTTCAACTCTTAATATTATTGCATACCTTGCTCTGTCAATTAAACTTGATGATAACTTGTCTTTTGTTGTAACTGGCTTTGTAATTTGATAAAAATATGTTTGTACGGTAAATTCCATTTGCCACAGCAGCTATTTAGTTCAAAATGTGATCATGATGATTCATTCAAAAGAAATCTGTTTTATTATTTTTGGCACATCCAGGTAATTCATTCTGCCACCATTCTGTTATGACTTATCTCTGCCAAATTGGTAGTCTTTGCTAAGCCGCTATCTAAAATGTAAAAAAAAAATAATCAAAAATCTTAAAAAAAAATAATAATACCGGTAGCACTTAGTGGATTCGTCTCCGTCTAACATTTTTTTCTCCAAAATTTGTTGTACAATTGACCAACAGATGGATCTGTACTGAATTTGAAACTAAAAAATTATGATTTCTGTATCGTGCAAGTTTATCATCATGTTTACCTGCCTGTGAATCTTTCCAATCTTCTTTTCAGCTTATTGCTAATGACAGTCTCAACAACAATCAAATGCTGAGTAAATTAAAAGAAGACCTAGTGATAAACCTCAAAGATGTGGAGGTTGGGTTATCATTTTATTATCGTGAAATGCTAGCTTAAATCATTGGCCTTGTAAGCTGTTAAAATACAATCATGTTAGTTTCTAATTAACATGCATAAACCTAATTAATATGCATAAACTTAATATGCATAAACTTAATATGCATAATTAGAAGAGTCTCATAGGTGATGATAACATAGAAAGATAATAATAAAAGAATATTGCATACAAAGTAACGTGAATGTTTAAGTAAAGTGGTGCATGCGTGATAAGTTTGGTTATTAACCTTTTCACTGCCAGTTCCCTCATTTCATCACGAATTCACAAAATAGTCCCATTAATAGTCTGCACAAATATAGCCGAATTTTTTGAGTAAAAACTGAAAATTTACTCAAATTTAGCTGTTGGGGTTCATTTTAAGAAATATTGAAGATGATAAGAAAAAATTGGAGAAAAATTTGGGCGAGAAAGTTTGGTGGTGAATAGGTAAAGTCTAGGGATGCCCTGATGGAGAAGGGTATGGAGTAGCAAGGCGATTCCATGCCGAGGTTTGAGTCATACATGCAGCTCTGTGCTTGAAATACCTTACTTTACCATCTATGCAGCATTATTGCCTTTGACATGTCAAGTAATATATGCAGAAGCTATAGAATTCACAAAATATTCAGCTTGATAATCTCTGAACATCGCCAAGCAGTTCTGTAAATTCGAATTGGAAGTCAGATTAGATTGAATTATTTTGATTTTGGGAGAAGTGATTCAGTTTGAAACCTGCTGGTGACTTTGTGCTGCAGTTCAGAATGCTAATTTTACAGTGACTATATATGCCCAAAACAATGTAATGGTTCATTCTTAACAGCTTTGAACTCATGGAAATTTAATGAATGACTTATGAATAACACAGATACGTAAATGACAATCAATCCACTTAAAGAAAGTTTTGATTTAGTAATATTGGACCAAATGTTGACCTATGATTTGAATTCTATTAGTGGGCATTTAGCAAATCTGATAGTTAATTCTAATTCATGTTCCCTGGCATTTCAACAATCTATAAGATTGAACATGAACATGAAAATTTAATGGATGACTTATGAATAACACAGATACGTAAATGACAATCAATCTACTCAAAGAAAGTTTTGATTTAGTAATATTGGACCAAATATTTACCCGTGATTTGAATTCTATTAGTGGGTATTATTGGGCTGATAGTTAATTCTAATTCATGTTCCCTGGCATTTCAACAATCTATAAGATTGAACATGTTTTCAACTTTTCTGTGTGCTTCTCATTGCTACCAAATTAAACAAAGACAAATATTTAAGGCTTACCGGTAGTAATCAATCATGATTTTAAATCTCACTTGTACCTGTATGTGTACCCTCTTTCACTGTTTCTCCTCATGTTACCTAACTTCCTATTCCTGAACTACAAACTATTATTGATTTCTTGAGTTTTGTGTCTCTGCTATGTTTGGAGTTTAAGACAAATTCATGTTTTACATTTACCGAGGATATTACTAAGCATATGTAATGTTATAATTGAATATATTTGACAAATATTATCTGGATGGAAAATACAATTAACCAGTAAATGACAATTTCAATTTTGTTAACAAAATTAGGGTTCATAATAACATGTGACTTATTTAGCCTCTGTCATTGAGCAAAATTGGTAGGGTGTGTGTGTGCACTTTGAACCATACCCACTTCTTGACTTATTTTGTATATTCAGATATCAATTACCAGATAGGGCAAGTTTTGTGTCACTTCCAATGAACATTGGTTGTGTGGACATGTTCACTATTGTTGTGATCAAATTTAGATTTCTTGTGCACATTTTAATTAATTGAAAAATAAAGTGAAATTAAACGAAAAAATAAGAAAATAGGCACCCACTTCTGGACTGAATCGAATAGTGCCCCTAGTTGTGGACACGTACTTGTAGAGTTGTTCTATGAAAGAGGGAAAGTTTGAATTCATCTTAGCATGTTTGTTTGGAATATTGTTTCAAATGTAGTATACAACTTGCACACCTGTACACAAAAATTAGCAGTGTGGAAAAAGATACATTATGTGATATATTAAAGATTCTATCATGCATGGCACACAACGTTCCTGTTCCTGCATATTTACAGCTTCCTTAAAAAATAATTTATTTATTAAAAGCATGTGTGTATGGTAGTTGTAGATAATGCTTTTCATCATATAATATGGTAGGTTAGTGGTTACTACTACCAGTTGATGCGGTTTCTATTAGAGCATCTACACATATGAGAACTGATGAATTTTTGTTTCTCAATTTTTCAAAAAGAATGGATGAGACTTCTATTAGGAGTGGCTTCTAATACAGATTTTATGCTAGTTTTAATTTCAATGTTCTCATGGTACTTAAGTGGTTGTTTGTTTGAGTTGTCTGGGATTCTTTGAATGTTTCATTTGTTTGTAAGATTTCAATGACACACTTACATGTACATTTGTACCCATAATGCCATACCACATACATATAAACACAGACTAATGTATTGGTAATGTTTTTCTAATGTTAGATTGACACAATACTGTAATGTCATAACATGTACATTTACATATCATAAATATGTAATTAGACACAATGCGTCTTCATTTCATTCATGTCATTAGTGACATCTTGAATTAGCTGTCTCTCGGTAAGTTCGCTAAAAAGATATGCTCGTGAAAAAGACATGTTTTACAGTACTACTTGCAAACACATCTACATTTATTGCAATGTTACATGTATGTCTACAAAATTTCACAATTTTCACAAACATGTCTTGAAATTTGTCTCTCACAAGATGGAAGCGGTTTACATTATATGTTTTACACAGAGCTGACAGTAATTCTTTTATCTGTTTTCTCTGTGACATCCTAAATCATTTTGTGTAAAACCATCAAAAAGAAATGTATTTGTTAACATGTACTGGAATATTTTGTAATTTGTACATTTATTATTCTCTACTTTCATTCCATTCCACAGATTTTTGTAATCATGTTTACGCTTTTTTTGACATTGGCATATAATTGTCACTATGTTGTATCAATGCTGTAAACCATAACAATGCTCTTTTACAGCAGGACTGTGTTTTTCCCTATTTTTAGATTATTTTATTTTTTATTAACACTCCAAATTACCTTTGTGATACCAAATGAGTGAGTGAATGGATATGTTCGGGAACTGTTTGTGTGTGTAGCATGAACTGTCTTATATTTTACCATGTGTGTCTTAGTTTGGTTCCACAAAGATCATTTGGCATAGAATTATATGAAACAAAAAAATTACAAAAACACAGACCCCTCTGAATTTTCACAATTTGGTTATGCTTTGATGAGAATGAAATGCTGTGCAAGTTGCTGTGACTCCTTAGAACCCCAATAAATGTCACTGTGACTCCCTAGGACCTCAGTGAATGTTACTGTGACACTCCCTAGGACCTCAGTGTCACTGACTCCCTCGGACCCAAGTGAATGTCACTGTGTCTTTCTAGGACTCCAGTGAATGCATGCACTGCTAAAATAAATGGTTTTTCCTTGACTTATGAAAATTTCCCAACAAAATTAAAACTGTTTACAGTAATAGCTTGATACAAAATATTGGCAGCAATCATTACCCACTAGTAAGATCAAACTGAAAGTAAGTATCATAGGATTGTTATTTATGCTTATGTTTTCTGTTTTGATAAATTGTAGGATGAAAGGCAAACACTACTTGACAGGATACGAGAACTTGAGAGACAAGTCTCCACAAATAAGGTTCTTAATTTTACTTATTTTATATCTTGTATAGTCTGGTCTAAGCTTATCATATCAAAGTATTCACGAAGGCAGTACAACATTAGTATCAACTAATGTGTTACAGATGTTAATTCTGTACCCATACTGTCTGTGTGCATACTTTGTAGTATTCTTGTCATAGCCATATTATTGTACATGTTTTCCCACTAAGAGTAATAATTGAGTACTAATAATGAGTGATTATAACCCCAAATTGCAACGAAAAATGCTTCAGGCCGTGCGAATGTTTGCGTTCAGTGTCAGGTGTCAGTGTCTATTTCTGTCGGGTGCTATAGTGCTTCTCCATCCGATGTAATCAAGGAAAAAGTGTTCAATTGTGACATGAATAATCTTGATTTAGACAAGTGAGTGATCATCCTCATTAGACAGCACACATTGTAAGCTTGAGTGCTTCTGTATCCAGTTTATAAAAATTACTACTGGTATCTGTTAAAAGAGCACTGTCTTCAACATGGTGGGACAAATATGTTTTTAAACATGTATTTTAGCAGCTTTGTAATGCATAAAATACATCACAATTCTTGCTATTCACTCCAATTGAATATCAGGTTTTCTTTCATGTTGCATACTGCGTTCTGACCAATCACTGATCAGCAAGAAACTATAAACATATAAAACACATTACTGCATTCTAACCAATCAGTACGACTACATAGAAATAAGTAGTGATAATTAATTTATGAGTTTTTTGTATATTAAACTGTACATGACTAGTTTTGTACACAAATTAATCAGTTAAAATAGATTGGAACCATTCTGATACCCATCCTGACCATTTCAGGGCATGGTCATACTTCATCTCCATATCTTACAACCGACCACTCTCATGACCCCCAAAAGTCACACATCCTGGTACTTTTGATGGTATGATGGCATCACAAATATGCACAAGCATCTCAGTGTGTGTTTTGCTCCTTGCGTAACATTTTACTCAAGCAGCAGAGACACATAGCAAAATTGTCTGATTGTCAATAAAATAAATTCATTCTTGATTCATTTCAACTAATTCACTAATAGTAGAAAATGGTCTACTGACTGTTGATGAATATGCACTCTGTTAACGTTCACTGATTCTGCTTGCAGATGAAAACGTGATCTGATAAAACCGCTTATCATTTTTCGCGCTGTTAACTATGTGCCCTGTGCTTTTGCTACCTACAGGAACAGGATGCTCTCTTTCAAAACCAAATGGCTGAGTTACATGACACTGCAGCACAACACAAGGTTCTAACATTTTTATTTCTATTAATTTAATTATTTAATATTATTTTCTGTTTCAAACTGTTTTATGTTGCTTAATCCATCCTATTATATCCAACTTTCTAATCAAATCTTGCTTTGCATCAAAGCACCGATATTCTGTTGTGGCATTGATCATTTCATCGCGATATTTAAGACAAAATTTGTCTCTTTGTGATGCCCCTAAATGAGAATATCAAGAAATTGGTTTAGGCGAAGAAGAAAAAAGATTCTGACCAATTTGTTTTCCAAAATCAAAACTCACACAGGTTGATTTTTAGTTTTATTTAAAAATTTTCATTAAATTTCTGTTTTTATTACGAATTTTTATAAAAACTGATAACAAATTTTGAAAAATATAAAAGTGATGTGACATTTAACTAATGCATGTACTAATACATAATACATAAATATTGTATTCTGTATGTATTACAGCAGCATTAAATCAAAATGTATTTAACAAAATTTTAAGAAAAAATTTC